AAACTAAAGCATATATACCCTTTATACTAACGGACATACATGTGTCATAATCTTATCCACCGACTCGACATTTATTAAATATCGGATGGACAGATAAGATTGTGTCACGTGTCCTTGTTTAGTCTTCCGTTAGAGTGAAGGGCATATATGCTCTAGTTTTTGGACGGCAGGGGTACCAATGTCCCAAAAGTGTAACGAAGGGTATTTGTTTACCATTTACGATAGTTCGATGATATATTTGTCCTTTTTTCCTTTATTATTTATTTTATAGAAAAGTCCAGTTAAGGAGGAAGACAAACTTCAATGAACCAGCCACAAGAATACTCTATGAATTATTGACAGGTTGTGAATTGTTGCAGCACACTCATTATCATGTTTTTTACTTCTACTCTCCTCCCTAAAAATATTTACGGACATCGAATACCTACATCAAATTAATATAATTTATCATAATCAAGTAACTTAACAAAGTCAATATTTATATATTAATTAACAGAATTAATTCATAATTGTGTATATTCATACACATAACATGCATTCGTTAATTTGACGATTACATCAGATGTGAGTAAGTTTTTATTCTCCAATACTACATCCAACAGAGGGGATATAATATATATTTGAAATTTGAATACTAGTGCAATACTATATCCGTGACTCTACTCTTCCCAGACCACACTTGTGTGATTGCAGTGGGATTGTTGCTGCACTTTGCACTCTAATCTCCCATAATTTTCACCCGCTTCATTAACCGCTAGGTGACACCTTTGATACAAGTTAATTTTACTGTTTGGTAGTTCTGGAACTTTAGAACTCCAAGAAAATCTTTCCATTTCTGTAATATCAGTATCAGTAGATTATACAAATGCCATGACTGGCAATTTTTACATCTAATAAACACAATAGAAAGATATATGTATAAGATATGGCATATTAATTCCAGGAATAAATCTTTATTTCATTCTCTGTCTACCTAATGAAAAGTACATTATAAACATCATGTCTCAGTGAAAATCATTTCACTTTCCAGCACCTTTACTGGCTGTTGTCATGAAAGACTCACCACAACCGCATTGCCCTTTCGAGTTGGGATTAATAAAAATGAACTCAGACCTGCACATAAAATGTAAGAACGCGTCAAGAGTTGCTTGCGGAGGACACCATATGAAACAGGGACGGGTTTGGACAAGTCGAAACATCTTTAAAGGATTTATCTCAGAGCAGCAGTTCACAGGGCTGCTGCATCTGAGGTATCATGCTAAACAACATTTTGATTCTCTTCTGGACCCCCTGCCTCCAGAAATTTTCATCGGCAGAAACCAACACAGATAGATAGTACAACAACAACAACATACCCAGTATAGTCACACAAGTGGAGTCTGGGGAGGGTAGGGTAGAGTATACACAAACCTTATTTCTACTTTGTTAGGTAGAAAGGTTGTTTCCGAAAGACTGTTGGCTCAAGAAAATACATATAGATAGTATGCTTACCAAAAAACTAACATGAACTGACAATCCAATAAACAAGAAGATGCAAGACTTTTGTCTCCCTCATCCAACAGTAAGTCTTGATACTAAGGTTTTCTGGAGTCGATAACTTCATATTTCTCAAAACTAACCTTATAATGGCAAAACTTTCCCAGAATAATTTGCACATAAACAAACAATAATTAGACCTTCAATGACATCAGAACAGCTAATGGAGTATGTTACATGGCATTAGTATAAACTAAAGCAGACGACCACAAAACTAACTGCTGAACACCCAAAGAAAAATTAACGGCAACAGGTGGGAGTTGGATAACGCGACACGTGAGAAAGCTACTTAGGGTTCAAAATATGTAAGATTACTTAAACTAGGTGTCTCCGGTCCTTTTCATCCAAAAGCAAAATGACCCACTTGTGCACAAAATTAAAAGGCTTAATACCAACAATATAGAAACGGACAAGTAAATCCCTTACCTTAATTTATCATCTACAAAATCCATCTTGGTACCAATCACGTGCATCAATGCCTTAGGATCAATAAGTATTTTTACTCCCTTCTCTTCAATCAACTCATCAAATTTACCCTTCTCATCTACAATGTTCAAAGGGTTGTGATTAGAAATAAAACCACAACAGAAATCCATAGCATAATCAGTTTGATGATGTATAACATCATTAGCCATAGACTAATTAGTCCTGCTGATGGATTATTTTGTGAGCATAACAAGATTGAATAGATTCAAAGGAGAAAGTTCATCAAAAATAAAAATTGTCCCCCAGGCTTGGCTCAATTGGAAAAAGTTGAAGAACTTGCGACTTAAAAGTCACAAGTTCGAGTCTTGCGACAAGTGAACTAAGTAACTGACAATTTGCAACAATATTGTCAATGTCAAACGCAAAAAGAGTATAAAAGTGCTAAGATTGTCCATGGCACTAAGCAATTTGAAGTGTGAATGTGTTTTGTTTTTTTTTGCATATATTTGAAGTGTGAATGTTAGTGAAGGGTGGTGCAAATAGATCAAAAGATGAAAAATATAAATGCAAAGGTTAACTGTAAACACAAAAAGACAATTCTAAATGCATAGGAGTTAATACCATTCTTAAGTGAAACACGCAGTTAAGTTTCCAATTCAAGTTTAACAAAAAAAAAAATTATATTTTCTTATTCTATATTCCTAATTCAAAAAAATTGATAATAAATATGTCACTTTGCCAATTATATTGATTTTTTAAGAGTTGTCCACTTGAAGAGACCACAAATTGAAAGAATTGACAACCATATTAAATTTGTCAATGCGCAATAAGATAAACATAGTACTGCCTTGTTGACTGTACAGGACACCACTTGAATGACCGGGGCACCCAACCTGCATTGCACATAGCATTTAGTTATTGCTCATTTGAAGAGAGGTTTAGAATGTTGCCCTTCTTGGATAGCTCTGGCACTTAAGTAAGTAAATTATATTGGATAGTGTGGTATCTTAAACAAATTATATCACAGAAAGAAAATCCGTTAACTCGAAGCAAAAGATCCTGCTACGCTGGAATTTATCCTTGGCCAACCTGTAAAGGGAAAAAACACAGAACTGCGGGACATGTAAAAGTATATGCACCAAACGTAGAGAAACGATTTGCTGGGATTGGATTCCTCCAAACTGAAATAGAAAGACTGTGCAGAATACTAACACCCTATGGCGCACATACCAAATGAGTGTAAGATAGATTGAGCAAGAAATTTAATCAAGATCCTGTATTCAATAGTTAAAGAAGGAGATCTTTATTTCTAAAACATGTCGAGATGTACGACATATCAATCATTAAGAACTAAAGTTACATTTGAAGAAATAAGGTAAAAAGGTGAATTACAAAATGGGAGATATCCTGTTTCTCGTCTAACAAAAATCGTGAAATCATCAAATGGGCATTAATCAGGGGAAACAAGATGATGATTAAAAAAGAAAACAAATCCTTAGCAAAAGTACATCAATATTAATTACATTCTAAAAACCCTAGTTTCATATGGATCGCGAGAATGTTGATAAGAGAAAACTCAGATGGCGCTCACTTTGTTCAGTCGGGAGGTCCTTTCTAGTTGTCTGATAGATGATAGGAGTGCGGTTACCGCTTGTAAACTCCTTGGTGCAATGTGTTCATTTGAAGTCACCAACCTCGGTTTTATCACCTCACAACCATTATATTTTGTGAGCTTGGTTACATCTTAAAGTAGCATAATAATAAATGCACGATGAGATGACAAAATCCATGAAAGATTACTCTACAGGTAGAAGCGGATCCAAGGTTTAAAGTTTATGGTT